ATTTTACCATCCGATATCGGATATTAAGTTTTTGGTTACTCAGAAATTTCCTTATCGTTAATAAGCCTGCTCTTCATTGCTATATTCTTGATCAAATTTCTGATTTTTAAAAAACAAAACAAAATGACGGTATTAAATTTTGATTTGATACAGAGCAGCAACAAGCCGCATATACGTATTTCGATCTCTTTAGATCTCCTCAGTACGGTATAGTTACTACTCCACATCAAACCAAAATATTTTCCCGTCGTAGATTATAGTTATTAAAAATAACTTGTTTCTGCTCTGTATCAAATCAAAATCTAATACCGTCATTTTGTTTTGTTTATTTACTTCATTTGGAGGACCAGAAATCGAATTCACTACGAGTATAGGCCATGATGAACGGCATTTGGAGTGCAATTTTTAGACTCCCTTGCCGATTCATTCATCAAGCTGTTTGCTTCGCAAGTTTTAGGGAGCACGGTGGCTTATATTTGAATTCTATTTTGCCAGGTAGAAATCGTATGATTTCTTTTTTTGTTCTGATTTTTAATTTAGATCTTTAGTAATCCAAACTCTCAAGTACTTTATTTTGTCCACTTCATTAAAAGTGGAAATACAATTTAAAGATTTATTCGAAGAATTCCAAAAACACTTATGGCTTATATTTACTAAGTATAAAACATTTTTACTATTGTTTGAGATACGTACACCTAATTAATTAGATTAAAGCTATAAGTAAGTACCTAATAATTATCATGCTGTAAGGATTAAATTATGACCCTTTTTCGAGATCGGATTCTAGCAGGTACCATCGTCGCAATCGTTCCCTGACTTCTTAACTAATTAACTTTATTTTGATTATACTATTTGCAATTTTTAATTTGAAAGGCATCACTATAACATGTTATATTATACTTTTCCAGTAATTACAGTGTAAATATTTAGGTATTTTTCAAAATTTTAAAAATGCATAAAAAAATTTCAAATTCGAGTTTTCTCGTTTGTTGCATTTTCTGGAAAAATTTGCCGCGGTTATGTATATCTTTTACGCTATCAAAATGAGAAAATTTTAACGAACAAAAAGCGGACAGATTTTTTAAAAACACAAACATCTAGACATGAGTCTTTTCAATTTAAATTTCGAGTGTTTTTTTTATGTTTAATCAAAGTGAGAGGAAAATAAATGTAACAATAAAACACTTTTTTGTGTGTATTTAATTGTTTGTTCATTGTATACATTGTTAATAAAATTTTAAATAAAAAAATACACAAGAAATCCCTGAAATTAGTATTTTCGCTGCCAGAGAAAAAACCCAGTACCTTCTGCTCGATTACATATACCGGCAAAATATCAACAAAAATAAACAAACACATAAAAAAGTAAGGAATAACACCAGCTTTCAGAACAAATAACAACTTAGGCAAATATATTAAAAACAACAAGAGCCAAAATAAAAAACACTTACACAGCGGTGTGTACAAAGTTAAATGTGGCGGCTGCCCAAAAACTTACATAGGTCAAACTGGTAGAAATTTTAATAAACTAATAGCATAACATTAAAGGGCTTTCAATAATAGAAAAACAGATTCTATATACGCACTTCACCTTTTAGATCATAATCATTCTATTATTGACGAATTTAAAATTCTTCACATTCAAAATAAAGCCCTTAAGATATCTTAGAATTAGAGTTAGAATCTATGGAAATCAACAATTTAAAAAGCACAGATATAATTCTGAATGACCAACTTAAGACAAACAGTTCTCCTCTCCTCAACCTTTTGTATTAACCCAGATATTACTGAAACTGTTATTGCTAACATTTTGAATTAATTTCAAATTTTCATGGAAATTATAGCATGTGGAACCAAAAAACACAATCATATATTTTTTATAACGATACCTTTCAAGTTTTGACATGTTCTTTTAAAAGGACGGTAGTAATATACGGTACCAGATATCATATATATTTTATTAGTATCAATTTACAAAGAATGAAAGGATTTAAAACAAAATTTTGGATGTAAAGGTATTTTGCACTTTTCACACAAAAACTGGACTTTTTTGTGACAATATCCACATCGCGATTGCTTTTCTTGATAAAGAACCAAGTGGTTAATACTGTCATATCTTGAATTGGCTACCGAATTCGAATTCCGCTTAGAAGGTCCGCGTTTTGTTTCTTTTTTAAAAGTTTCCAAAATATTAGTTGCAATAGATCTTCTACATTTAAGTTGATCCAGTTTACCGTCTTGAGTTTTGTGAATCTGCCACGCATTTTGAATAGCCATATCAACGCAATGAGCAAAAAGTGGAAAATACCATTTCTTTTCTCTTATGGACACTCGATATAAACTGATGTTCTGGTCACTGCGATCAACGCCACCCATGAAGTTATTGTATATTCTAACAATATTTGGTTGAGGAACTTGAATATGTTTTTTCTCTGCTTGTGAAAATCTCTTAACAGAGAAGCAAGGCATTACTGGTACAAAATTGGAAGCAATAGAAACAATATTATTATTTTTTTTTTAAACAAACAACTATTCCTGCATTTTTATCAAGACGATACTCGTATTTACCACGTTCAATTTTTTTCATAATAGATGAACAGGGTAAAGGGCATTTCATGGTGCGATTTTCCCTTACAGTGCCTGTACCAAATATGCCTCTTTGTTTTAGCTCATGCAGTAAATGAATAGAAGTAAAATAATTATCAAAAATAAAATGGAATCGTCTTTGAGGCCATACTTCATTCAATCTGTCTGCATAGGATATAACTACTGATGCAGCCAATCCAAGGACTTTATATTGTTCAGGTATTGTAGTGGAATTACCTTGGTAAGGAGAAAACCAAACTATGTATCCCAGACGAACGGCTCCTACCCACATTTTGTACCCCCAACGGATTGGTGTTCCCCTGATGAATTGTTTTGTGGGATGGCGACCAAAATACGGAACCATTGCCTTCATCTATGCTTTGATGTTGTTCTAAAGGGGAAAATTGTATAAATTTTTTGTTTATTACGTCGAACAGGGGTCGCATCTTGGCAAATCTATCAAATTTATCTAATGACAAGTTATTGCAAACATGCAAAACTTTCATTATGTGGGAAAATCTATCCCTAGATATAGCAGCTACCACCATTGCGCTGTGCGAATCGTCACGATTTTCCCAGTACATGTACCTTTTCGGCACAACCACATAACCACTCAATACAAGAACGCCTATAAAACATCGAATCTCATTTTGAGTAATGTCGTTCAAAAGATTTCTTTGTCCTGCGTAGATGTTTGTGTATTTGGTAACCAAATTAATGGCTTCATCATCAAAAAACAAATTGAAAATTTCCATCGGCGACTAAGTCATTTTTGGTCCAAATTGAGTTTTCCAGTAAGTACAATCAGGGTGTTGATACAAGTCTCCTTGAATCCAGTGTGCAGATATTTTCTTCTCTAATTGATGGGGCAGCCTTTCCTTGGAAAGAAACAAACCCAATGGTATATTGTCATCATCCGAATCTTCTTCTGGTAGGCTGGAATTCACAGAATCTTGTGGTAATTCAGTGAAGTTATCAAAAACAAGTTCTACATCGTTTCTCATCTAACTACCCGGTAAATTATTTATTGTAGTTAGTTCTTCATCGCCGGCGTCGCAATCGGTGATATCATCATTGGCATTTTTTGGGGGAAATATGATCAAACCATCTGGAGGGACTGGGATTTCATCAGAATCAAGCTCTTCTAATAGCTCATGCAATTTGAGAGGCCTCCTGAAACAATACGCATGTTGGTAGTACTCATTACTACCGTCATTTTAAAAAAACAAAATGAAATCTCAAGCGGCGAGCCTTTGAAACAACGTGACAACTATTCGAGCCAAGAATATACGTACATAAGTCCCTATTATACAATAATCCACATGCGAATGCCGTGAAGTAAGTTTTTTAATTCCAGACTTACCTCCAATCATAAGCATTCATTTTGTAGTCCAAAACCTGGCCATTTACACAGAAAACCTCACAATTACAGCATGTGCGCGCACTAAAATCGTTAAAACTTGTCGAATGCTGGCTCTTGAAAACACTCCATCTAGAGCCATCGATCAGTTGGTAGATGTACTAACCTAAATTACGCATAATTTACACTGCCTTTTAAAAGGACGGTAGTAATATCTGGGTTAAAGACTATAATGTGTAATGTGTAGTCAAAACAGCTGTAGTGATAAGAGTTATTAATAAATTTGTGGAAGTTTTACAAACAATGTGTTCAGTGTTTTATTGTTACATAAAATGAATTTTCATCAAGTAACGGTCGAGTCCATTAATTAGGAAAATAAATATTTTGTATAAAAAATAAAAAATACAATGTATTTTGGACATAAAACATGAAGTTTTTGCAAAATTTCGTAAACAAACAATATTATTTGTGAAATATAAAAACAAAAAACTGGCCCTTTTCAATGTTTCGCATAAATTTTAAGGTTATGTAAATAAAGAAATATAGAAGTTGTACTTAGAACTTTTTATTAACTACCAATTTGTTATTTATTTTTTAAGGCTTGTAGTGTTGCTCTTACACTTGCCTTGCCTCAGATTACCTGTAAAATATATTATTTCCTTAAATAGTTATGTTTTTTTCTTTTAAAATGATTTCCATCCAGTTACTATTTTTGTTTCACTTTTTACCATTTTCAAAGGATTCGGCTCTGATCCAAATTAATATATTATTCCGGTTAATATCATGATACAAACCACTAAACCGCATATAACATTCTCGTATGTAGCAATTACATTTCATCATCAATTAATGTAAACTTTCTCTTTGTTGCAGATTCCAGAGGGTCCAATCATTCAAATATTACGTATGTTTAGAGAAGAGACTCCAATCAATTACTGCAACCAGCCACAAAAACGGACCATCATGAGCGATGTTTCCCAACAGACCGATTTGCACAATTTATACAACAGCTAAACCAGACGACACTCAGTGCTGCATCGATTAAGTAACTACAATGGCTGAACTAGAAGAAAACTCGACTTACGCTAATATCACCGACAAGGTGATTAGCCAAAGTGCTTGGACGGATGACTTATTTTTGGTTTTAAAAGCTACAATCATGGGCTCAATCATAATAGCTTCCATTTTCGGAAATCTTTTAGTTATAGTCTCGGTCATGAGGCATAGAAAATTAAGAATCATTACTAATTACTATGTAATCTCGTTAGCTTTAGCGGATATGTTGGTAGCTATGTTCGCGATGACTTTTAACGCTAGTGTGCAAATATACGAGGAGTGGAAATTTGGATATTTTATGTGTGATGTTTGGAACTCTTTGGATGTGTATTTCTCTACGTCGTCTATTTTACATCTGTGTTGTATCAGTGTTGATCGGTATTACGCTATAGTGAAACCCCTTAAGTATCCGCTTACAATGACTAAAAATGTTGTAGCTTTTATGATATTAAATACGTGGATAAGTCCAGCTATAATTAGCTTTTTACCAATATTTAAAGGCTGGTACACTACCCCAGAAAACCAAATATTTAGAAATAAGCATCCTGATATATGTGAATTTGTCGTCAATAAACCTTACGCCGTAATCAGTAGCAGTATATCTTTCTGGATACCGTGCACAATCATGATCTTCATGTACCTGGCTATCTTTAGGGAAGCAAATAGACAAGAACGGGAAATGTACAATAGACATGGTGCTGCCTTGCTCTTGCATCAAAATAATACCAATGGTGATATGCTGTCCAACTCTGGAGGGTCTTCAAAAACTTTAACGCACCATGACATTAACCAAGACCTCCATCACACGCCTACAAAAGAAAGAAACCTTTCTAAAATGAAGCGAGAGCACAAGGCTGCTAGGACTTTGGGTATCATAATGGGAACCTTTATTCTGTGCTGGCTACCATTTTTTCTTTGGTATGACACAGTGTATCTCTGTGATTCCTGCCGCGAGCACTGTCCACAAGAGGTAGTTTCTACAGTATTCTGGATAGGATATTTTAATTCAACCTTAAACCCCATTATATACGCTTACTTTAACCGAGACTTTCGAGAGGCATTCAAAAACACACTTCAATGCGCCTTTTGCAGTCTCTGCAAAAGACCGCCTTCCGAACTGGATTACATAGATCATAGAAGACCTTCCATGAGGTACGAGGATAGAACAAGAAGTGTTTACTCTGAAACTTATCTCAAACACGTGGACAGACGATGTTCCGAGTTTGGGTCAAGTCTCTGAGTAGATTTAACTAGTAGCAGACTCACTACCACTAGTTTTTAGCTTGGTAGTGGGTCTGTTGCTAGTGTTTTTAGAGATATACTTAAAACATGGGCTTGTGGCTTGCATTGATGTGATCTAAAATATAACAAATATTTACCTTTAAGTTTTTGAACATATATGTATATGTATATATATATATATATATATATATATATATATATATATATATATATATATATATATATGTATATATATATACATATATTTATGAGCTTAGTTTATCGATTATGTGAATATCCAAATACTTGAATATTTTAAATGTTTCCAAAAATTGCTATTTTCAATTATCACTATTATTTTATAATTTGAACTACGTTTTAAACTATTGACAGTTAAAACTAAAATGATACAAAATGCAGACAAAATAATATTCTTATTCTTTATAATAACAAAAGTACTGATAGATTATGTAGACATTCACCAGTAAATAACTATTAATTTAATAAATTATAATATACATTAAAAAGGTCTTCTATATTATATGTTATTGTTAATAGAGTTTGGATGTTTTTTAATATAACTGATCTCAAATATACATTTTTTTGTAAACTATTTTTTTTATAATTTGGTTAACTGTTCAAATGCTGTATTTTTTCAAAATCATTTATATCATTATTTAGAAGTAGAAGTAGATACAGGTGCTTTTTAATATTAAATATTTAAGGGGGGCTTTTTTTAATATTGACATGTCATATTTAGAATTATAAAATAATAAAAGCAATTGTAGATATTTGTATAATACAAAATCTTGTTCCAAATAAATCACCATCATCATCATCATCATCTGTAGACTTTTTAAGTTTACAGCTGAAAATATGTCTTCCGTAAATAGTCCAGTAATTCTGGTTTTATGGACCTTCAATCCAGTTGTACTGGATGCTCTTGATGTCGACCAATCATCTTATTGATGGATGTCCTCGATTGCGATGCGCATGGTGTCTAGGTCTCAATTCTAAAATTGTTTGGTCCATCTTATATCTCTGAGTCTGGCAACGTACATGTCATGCTCAGTTCCATGTTTCCTTTGCATTTTTTTTTAATTCCGTCCACAACAAACAGTTTTTCTCCTTACTGTTTGATTTGAAACTCTGTCTCTAAGAGATATATTTATCAGTAAGTTCCCAATTGCTCTGTGTACCACTTGTATTTTATTTCTTATTTTTATGCCAAGGGTCAGTAATTCTACTACATATGTAACAACCGCCAAGGTAAAAAAAGAAATAGTAGAAGAAGTCGTGGACCTTTCAGAGAAAGAATTGTTCGTCAATCTTTTATCCATCGGTTGTGACGTGATTTTTTAGATAGAGTCAGTTTTTTGGTTCTACGATGTATTTTTTAGTTTGGGATTTGATCTTTTAGAGAGAGGCCCAATATTTAGCTCTTTATAGCACCCTGAGTCACGCAATTCTTATGCGCTACCTTTTTTGTGGGTGTTATTATTTTCGTTCCATAAGTGATTATAGGTAACACAAATTTGTCAAACATTTTCCTTTTGAGGGATATGTGTAGGTCAGATTTAAAAATATACTTAAATTTACCAAACGCTGTCGTGGCTAATCCTTTGCGACGTAGGAGCTCACGTGTCTGGTTATCTCTGCCCAACCGAATTGCATAGGTTGACCATATTATAAATGAAGAGGTAGTAAGAAGACATAATACTCAAAAGAGCTTCTAAACATTGTTAACCAGCGAAAGGTCTCATCGCAATATTTTAAAAGGCAACGAACATAATATTTTAAAAATAATTTAAATGGATAAGACGAATTTTGAAGAGGACTAGAATGCAACAATTCAAAGGCATAAAAACTGGTGTGCATACCCAATATTAGAACAATAACAAAAGATCATAAAAAAGATACTTACGTATAATCCAACTAGCATGAACGACTTTACGCTGCATACCCTACGGTATCAGAAGAAAAAAAGGAAGAAGAAGATGAAAATAAAAAAAAGAACAAGAAGAAGAAGAAAAAGATCAATATATGTATAAAAGTATTATTGTTAATAATTTTAGCATACCAAAGAATACACTAAATTTTACAGCATTACCTAAGCACACTTTGAAAAATAATCATTCTTCGATTTTAAAAATGTATGGCTTTAAGAAACAGAGACAAAATATAATCCTTCTCCTTATCCCCTTATCAGAATGTGGTAACGCTTTAAATATTATTAGCTTGCTGTCACTATTGGCTGCCATCCTGTGCCATATAGACGGCTTTATGTAAGAATTTTCTAACTAGAGTTATCATTTGATATGCTCATCGTGTTGGATATCTTTCTGTTGGTCCTTGGCGTTCCACATTTGCTTCTACTACCAAAAGTTCCATGGCCTTCGTTTTTCTAGCTATGTGGCATAGGTATATTAGATATGCTCGGTTTACTTTTTTTAATAGCCTGTCTTTTATATGAAGCTCTTCCAGAATTAACAGGTTGCTTCTATGTTCTCTCCAGGATACTCAAGACTTCTTTTATATACCCACATTTTTAAGGGTTCGATCTTGTTCCTATAGATTTTTTTGGGAATATCTGTTTCATGTGCGTATGTAGCAATGGGAAAAATAAGGGCATTGACCAACCTGAGCTTGTGTTATTGTTCGGTCTTTTCGTATTTTAATCAATTTAACTGTTGCGGTTCGGATCATTACTAGTCTACGTGCAATCGCCATTGTTGATTATCAGGGAGCCAAATATACAAATTTGCCTACCAATTTAAAATTCAGTCTTTGGTGTAAGTGCGGTAGATTATTAATTACCCTGTCTACAATTATTATTTTTGTTTTTTCGATGTTGATGTAAAATCCGAATTCTTCGCTTATCCAACTTAGATGTTCTGTGATGGTAATCATTTCGACTTCATTCATTGCTAGTATTAATGTGTGGTCTGTGTACCGCAGGTTGCTAATTTTTCTGCCTCCTACAGTGATTTCTCCATCGTATAATGGAAGTACTTTTTTCATTATAATATTCAGAATATACGTTGTATAATAGTATTGAGTTTTTATCATACAGATTTCTTATTAGGTTAACTAGGTTATGTAATTTACGAAACAGAATAGCATCGGTATGTTGTGTTCTCTTCCTTTTCTATTATCTATCTGGTGTTTAGTATCTACTTTTGCGTTTCTTTTCCTGGTACGAATCCACATTGTTCTTCAGCTATCTCTAAAATTAGAAGGTTTATCCGTTCATTATTCATATGTAACAGGATTTTGCTCACATGAGGAGTAAGGGCAATAGTTCTGTAATTACTGCATACGGTTAATAATCTGTTTAATGGATAGGGTAAAGGTTTATACGCACCACCCATCGCTTTTAAAAACAGAGACAAAATATAATAATATTAGGTGGTAGTTTTCAAGTTGTATGTCCATTTTTACTTGCTGCATTATCAATAATATTTTCTTTTACAAATAATTTTGTTTGAGGTATACAAGGCAACTATCGAACACGGTGATTAATTTAATCTTGCCCAAGTACTTTCGATCAATAGATCATCTTCAGGGGAATTTCGTCAGTTGTGGCCTATCCGACATAGTAGAATGTCATAAATGTAAAATTTGGACATAACAATACAAAATACAATACACTAAGACAAACAAACACTTTAAAATTTATAAGGAGAAGCTACATGTTGTATAGAAGCCGGAGACATAATCATTCTGTGTCCGGCTTCTATACAACATGTAGCTTCTCCTTATAAATTTTAAAGTGTTTGTTTGTCTTAGTGTATTCAGACAGAATCATTCTGTGTCCGGCTTCTATACAACATGTAGCTTCTCCTTATAAATTTTAAAGTGTTTGTTTGTCTTAGTGTATTGTATTTTGTATTGTTATGTCCAAATTTTACATTTATGACATTCTACTATGTCGGATAAGCCACAACTGACGAAATGCCCCTGAAGATGATTTATTGATCGAAAGTACTTGGGCAAGATTAAATTAATCACCGTGTTCGATAGTTGCCTTGTATTCCCTCAAAGTTTAATTATTCGAACATTCAACCTTATATTGAAATAATTTTGTATTAAGTACCTATACTAGTTGGTCTTTAGTGTACCAATCTTTAAAATATAAATCTTGTAATAATAAAAAATCTTGCAATTCATCCTTTGTAGAGCATTAATTCAAATTTTTTTAAGTTTTCTAGAAGGATATAATGCATTATCTAAAACATTAACACTGTTATCTGCTAAATTTGGTAATAAGGTATTTTTAAACCATGATTCGAAAAGTTCACCCGTAGTATCTTGATGATAGTCCAAACAACTATCTTTCATGTCTTTTGCCCTTAATAGTAAGCCATCGGTTACTCAACCATCTTCCCCTCTACAATGTAAAATGCATATTTATTTGTCTCTGTTTTATCCTCTCTATTTAACCACGTTTTATCTAACTAATAAATTTTTTCTTCCGCTATTTCTGTACTCGGTTACCTTTTCCAAATATTTATTACGCCACTTATTATTAAACGGACACTTTGCATTATAGTATATCGTTTATTGATTATTTTATACTTAAAACCACTTGATAGTAAAATTTTTCTTAAAGTTGATTAACAGCAATTAATAATATTTTTAGATTTTAATTCAGGTAAAATTTGGTTAATTGTGGGTATATTATTACCTGCAAACATATTATAAATGGTTTCTGAAATGGGACCTAAAAGATGTTGCTCAATAGATCGATGTAGTCCAAAGTTGCTCCTTTTTTGTGTGTTTGTAATGCCATCCTTCATAATTTAATATACAGTAGCACATGAAATTTTTGTTAAAGCTACAGTTTTTAAAACACTCTCGTGAAATTCCAGTTCTTCACATAATCCATTAAATACATTTAACACAATTTCTTTAGCGTCTTTCGATAAATGTTTTTTTTTTTCTGGCTTTTTAATATTTTCTCTACTTGGTCCAGCAACATTTTCAGGAGTATTTGATAGTAGAATTTCATCATTCTCT